CGAGAGTTCAGTTGGTTTCGTTCTATGAGCTCAGCCACCAACTGTGAGACTTTGAATGACTCATCACAGAGGATGATGAAACACTGTGAGAGCTGAATCTCAACTGACCCCTGACCTCTTGCGTTGGCTGTGTAGGTGATCCAGCGCAGGGAGGATGGCTCGGTCAACTTCTTCAGAGGATGGGAATCATACCGTGAGGGATTTGGAAAGATCACTGGTGAACACTGGCTTGGTAAGTGGCTCAGGTGTTTGAGTCTTGTTTGTGTGTATGTCTTTGCTAATGTCTGACTCAAGCATGCATGTATTGTGTGACCTGTAACAACATGCCAAGCCAAACCCTGGAAAGTAGATTTTCACACAGTATTGTCAACTTTCTGTATGGTTACATTTTGATGAGACCATAAAATTAGCACCATACCAACAAAATTAAGGTGTGGCATGAAATCAAAAATGAAGCAATAATGTTCCAAGGAGAAGGATGAAAGAGAGCCACTCCCAGAATGAACTAACTAGACATGGTGAGCGATGGCTCGAGATAAAAAGAGAAAGATTAGACATGGTTGACCCATCATATCATTAAGCACTGACAGTGACAAAGAATAATATTGAAAATTGGGAGATGTGTATAAAGTGTACTTTACAGAGCTATCCTATCAGCGCCACAAGCAAAAGACCAGCAATGCAATTATAGTATTTTTAGCTTTCATATAACAAACACATCACTGGTTTAATTTCTTTTCAGTTAATCGTATAGCTTTTTCAGTCGCCTTCTGCTTAAAATGTGTGTTTTCTGGAGTATGCTTGTCCAAATCCTTGTATTTCTTGCTGGCAGCATGACATATTAGTGCATGCCTCCCCTCAAATTTGACGGGAAAAGAATTCAATCCAACAAAAGAATGAATTCAACTGTGAAATTGTCAACTTTTCCAAAGCCAGAATCCTTGTCTTCACACCACTTCACACCACTTCTCATTAAAAAAAAAAGAAATCTATGGGGGAGATACTCTTTGGCTATATCATGCTCATTTGTAAAGTATGCTCTTGAAAATAAAGTGTCAGAGGTGACATCCACAGCTTTTTCAGAATATCTTAAGTGAATATACTTTAATGTATATTTTGTTTGTTTGTATACATAACATGGTTTATGAATATACAGCTAGTTCTTTGTCTTTTTAATCGTCCTGACATTTGTTGAGGCAGCAGAAGACCATAAGGTTTCTCACGTCATGTGTTGAATGTGAAAATTGATAACCAGAAAGGTGCATTCTATATGGGGGGGGGGGACACGAGGAATTTCACTCTGGTACATCGGCTCTCAATATGTTTCTACATATCCTTATGTAAGGCAATAGCAAATGGCAACCCTGTAGCAACATTTATTTTCACAGACATAGTCAACATATGGACCTCAGTCACTAATTGTTACACAATCACTACTGTTACCCCTGTATACCCAAACATCCCCAGTGCCATGCGTCACTGCTGTAGTATGTTGTTGTTTTCCTGTTAATTACAGTATATCACCAGAGTACAGTGATGAAAATAAAACTAGCTTAGGTATCAAAAGAATTTCACTTAAATACTGTTGTTGAATACATGACCTTGGGCTTGTACTTGGTTGCCACATTTCTGAACCATTAGTAAGCATTCAAGCACTGGCTCTTTGAGTCCCGATCCCCGAGCCTCCAGGGCTACTCCTACTCAGCACAAGCGGTACACTGTGGCTGCACCATGATTCAAGGCAATGAAACTGTGATGGAGCCGGCGAGATGCCTGCTGATGACTCGTCCCGTCAGACTCAGTTGCTACAATTTAACTTTTAAATTGCATAAAACCTGTCATTACACGAGAAAGCTCATAGCTCAATCAGCATTCATGGAAGTAATACTGAGGTAATACACCGCTTTGTATTTTTTTGTGATTGCATGATGAAATGTGGTGTGTTCACACAAAAACAGTGGCCACAAAGAAGCATTTAGAGAAATGTTGTTTCCTGAGGAAATTTGGATTGAGCAGCAGACTGTTAATGAGCCATCACCATTTCTGTGTGTATAGTATCTTTACAAACTGTCACAGTGGTTTCCTCAGTGACAGACTGATGCAGTAAGTGAAGCTTGACTATGTCAGTTTCTGTTAAAATGCACACTTGATCATGATCAGGGTCATGGATGTGCCATACCGCAGCTGAGATACTCTTCCATCAGCACTCTCTTTCACACATATGCACCCATACTGTATATATAAGTATCTGTTGTTATTTTTGTTGTGTTCCAGGAGACACTAGGACTAAGGAAAAGCTAAAGGAAGCAACATAATGTTGGTTTTTACAACATTTATTGTTTAGAAGACGGCAATCTTTTAATAAACTTAAAATGGCCAGTTCAATAAGTGCACAGCTGAGGAACTGAGGCAGCAAAAACACAATCCAAACAGCAAAGGTCATAACGACACACTTGAGCAGCAATCCCTTAAACATTAATAGGGATCTGTGGGCAGCTTGTCCGTATGCTTTATTATATACATAATGATGGTGCATGATAAAAAAAAAGATATGTTTGGTTTTGTATCACCTCTGTTTATCACTTTTATTGCAATTCAGCCAACAAAACAGTTCATTCATACAGTCTTATAAATGTAAAATAAAGAAAACTGAGTTTTAAGTACATAATTTTTAGATAACAATACACTCACAACAAAGTCAGTCAAAACAGATATTCTGCAGATCCTAAACTGATTAGTCTGTGGTACCGCTGCAGGCTTCTCTTTGATGCAGACACTGTTTTATGAGTTTGTTATTGAGATTCCCCTCATATTTTACACCCGAGACATCTGTTAGTTAAAACTAAATAATTCATTAAACTGATCTGCAATAAAAATTACATAATAATATTTGTTATTTCTGTTGCAAAACATTAAGCTATTTCAGAGACTTGTCACTCATGAGCTTCAGTAATTAATGATTCCTAGTATGTATCTACAGTAAAGCATTTCAGAGTTTATGCGAATTAGAGGTCTCTTTTCTGACCCAAAGCCATTACAGAGTGCATCTTATAACAAAAACCGCAGAGTTCCAACTGGATCTCCCTGTGGTATGCTGCAGGAACATGGTGGGAATATGGAAAGCTCAGGTTTTAGCTGACTGAATTTAAATGAGCCAACAGGCTACTTTGAACGTTTCATAGTATCCTTGCTCATTCAGGCTGTGCTGTTGTCTCGTCACCCCCATCATCGATTGCCCTCAGGCCAAAAATGAAAAATAGATTCATGCTTGCTGCCTGGAAAGAAATTCATTGCAGCTACCTCCTCCAGGCCAATATTGCTCACTAATGCCACCCATCACCTCTGAAGATCTCTGCATGTCTCATTACCATAATATGCAGCTAAGTTCTGTTTTCCTTTTGGGATAGGTGTCCTACATTGAACTTCTGATAGTGTGATGATATTGACAATAACAGTCATGTGAGGAAATGAAGAATAATAGAGAAAGAGTTAACAAAGCTGGCATTCTGTGATTCTTTTTGAAAGTGGCCACCAACACTGCATTTATTAGTTTTATAACACAGTCACACTTGAGAAAATTCTTGCACATTTTGGTACCTCAATAAAATGGTGAGAAAAGAGAAAAAATGTCCGGACAATGAAAAAGAAAGATTTTGAGGAATAATGACAGTAAGCCTGATAAATCTATTCTTCAAGATTTTGCTTGTTTAGTGTGGGGATGATTTTTCTCTTTTCTCTTATTTCTTATCATTTTTGTCTTGCACCTGAACCCAATTTGTGTTGGATGTGCACACATTTTTTTAAAATCTTTTTTTACCACATAAAATGGTCACACCAAGCTCTAGTTTGGGCAAATCAATGAATTTTTTAAGTTGTTTGACAGCGTAGCTATCAGTTGGACTGCCTGAAGCTTCAACTGGCAAGTCAGTTCTATTGGGACTAGCCTCAGTCATTTTCCCACTTGGAAAATGATTCATTCTTCTTAGATATATGCTCAAACTGCTAGAGTATCATCTTGACCTAAAGATACACTATGTAACGTAAGGTAGCATTAGCATGAAACTCTAAATCAATCCACTCTGCTCCGCCCAGCGCTCCCTTCTTCTGCTCCACTATGCTCTTCTATAATCTGCTACACTCGGCCACGCTCTACCCAGCTCTTCAGATATTTGTCGTTATGAAATTACAGTAAATGAGAATGCAACAAAACGTATTGATCAAGCAGAAATAATTGAAAACCTCTGATTGGTTAAAGCGGTCACGCCCATGCAAAAACGTTAGAAGTTAATTTCTCTGCACTGTTCTCAGCGTTCAATGAGTCACAGGAGGCTTCGACAGCACCCCCATATTAAGACATATTTTGGAACACATTTCTACAATAAAAAATATTTGAAAAAGTTCAGTGCTGTAGCTTTAAGACAGTCTAAAATTCCAGCATAGTGATATAGTTTTCAGTATAATGAGGGCTGCCTCTTCAGTTTGTGTTTATATGTGTTTGGTTGCTTCCTTTGATGTAAAGTATGAGTTTTTGATTTGGTCTCTTTATTCTTTAAATTGAGGACCATTGTGCCAGTTTCTCGTGACATTTTGTCCTTTCATTTTGTGAAACCCATCATCAGGTGAGTGACATTCAGAAGAAATGTTTTTGAAGGCTATTTGTCAGGAAGTTTAGTTGTTAGCTTAGAAGGTCATTTTAGCTGACATTGTCAGGGGTATGAAAGCATCACTGAAAACCCCCAAAGAAACCTGCTTCAAATTATAATTACTCAGATTTTATTCCAACATCAAAACTGATTAATCTAAATTAAATGAATATGTTAAAATGAAATGAAAGCCTGTTGATTCCATGTTGTCATTGACATGTGACACTATATTTGTCACCTACAGTGAATTTTATGGATGCTCTAGTTTGAGGAGCAGCAGTCCTCTGCATGAGAAGTAATAAGAACAACATGCAAGTACTGCTAAAGTTCCAACCATCAGAGCTTAGAAGTCTGAAATAAATTAGACAAATTATTACCCTTTGATGGAATCAACAGGGACTCCCACTCCCTGTTGCACTTTGACTTGTGTAAACTTAGTGAAGTGAATCCGCCCTGGTCATTGCATTCTATCTGCCTGGCTCTCCAGTGTAAGGCGCAGATCAAAGTTGGTGTATCAGGGAAATTAGGGGAGACAGAATCTCTATTTATATCAGTAACCATTGGTGTATCTATGTTACAGTGTTGCCCT